TGTAACTGGAGTAGTTGGTGTATTGCATAGTTTTAGCCGTTGGATTTCACTCAAAACGCACCAAATGACTCCTCCCACCGTATTATGATGTTGACCATGTTTTGGGCTCATTCCGATATCGATTGAACCAAGAAATTGGACAATTCAAGTACGTACGAAGTTTGTTCTGTGAATGGAGTGGTTGGTGTGTTGCAATCTTTTAGCCATTGGATTTCACTCTAAACTCACCGAATGACTCCTCCAACTATATTATAATGTTGCCCAAGTTTTGGGCTCAGTCCGATCTTGATTGGACCAAGAAATTGGACAATTCAAGTTCGTACCAAGTTCATTCCGGAAATGGAGTGGTTGGTGTATTACCTAGTTTTAGCCGTTGGATTTCACTCAAAATCCACCAAATGACTCCTCCCACCGTATTATGATGTTGACCGAACTTTGGGCTCAATCCGATCTCGATTTTACCAAGAAATTGGACAATTCAAGTTCGTACGAAGTTCGTCCCGTAAATGGAGTGGTTGGTGTATTGCATAGTTTTGTAAATTGGGTTTCACTCAAAACTCATCAAATTATTTCTCCTACCATATTATGATGTGGACCGAGTTTTGGGCTCAATCCGATCTTGATTGAACCAAGAAATTGGACAATTCAAGTTCGTACGAAGTTTGTTTCGTAAATGGAGTGGTTGGTGTATTGCATAGTTTTGTGAATTGGGTTTCACTCAAAACTCACCAAACGACTCCTCCCACCATATTATGATGTTGACCAAGTTTTGGGCTAAATCCAATTCGATTGAAGCAAGAAATTGGACAATTCAAGTATGTACGAAGTTTGTTCCGTAAACGGAGTGGTTGGTGTATTGTATATAGTTTTAGCCATTGGGTTTCACTAAAAACTCACCGAATGACTCCTTCCAGCATATTATAATGTTGCCCAAGTTTTGGGCTCAATCCGATCTCGATTGGACCAAGAAATTGGACAATTCAAGTTCGTACCAAGTTCATTCCGTAAATGGAGTGGTTGGTGTGTTGCGTTGTTTTAGGCATTGGATTTCAATCAAAACTTAGCCAATGACTCCTCCCACCATATTATGATGTTGACCAAGTTTCGGGCTCAACCCGATATCGATTGAACCAAGAAATTGGGCAATTCAAGTACGTACGAAGTTCGTTCCGTAAATGGAGTGGTTGGTGTATTTTGTAGTTTTGGGAATTCAGATTCACTCAAAACTCTCCGAATGAATCCTCCCACCATATTATAAAGTTGCCCAAGTTTTGGGCTCAATCCGATCTTGATTGGAGCAAGAAATTGGACATTTCAAGTTTGTACCAAGTTCATTCCGTAAATGGAGTGGTTGGTGTATTGCATAGTTTTATCCATTGGATTTTACTCAAAACTCACCAAATGACTCCTCCCATCACATAATGATGTTGACCAAGCTTTGGGCTCAATCCGAGCTCGATTGAACCAAGAAATTCAACAATTCAAGTTCGTATGAAGTTCGTTTCGTAAATGGAGTGGTTGGTGTATTGCATAGTTTTAGCGGTTATATTTCATCAAAACTCACCAACTGACTCCTCACACCATATTATGATGTTGATCACTTTTTGGGCTCAATCTGATCTCGATTGAACCAAGAAATTGGACGATTTAAGTTCAATTGCAGTTCGTTCCGTAAATGTAGTGGTTGGATTGTCGAACAGTTTTAGCAATTGGATTTCACTCAAAAGTCACCAGTTCACCCCTCCCACCATATTATGACGTTGCCCATATTTTGGACTCAATCCGATATTGATAGGCCAATGAAATTGGACACTTCAAGTTCGTACGAAGTTCGTTCCATAAATGGAGTGGTTGGTGTATTGCATAGTTTTAGCGACTGGATTTCACTCAAAACACTCCAATTCACTACTCCCACCACATTATGACATTGCCCATGCTTTGGGCTCAATCCGATATTGATTGGCCAAAGAAATTGGACAATTCAAGTTCGTACGAAGCTTGTTCCATAAATAGAGTTGTTGGTGTTTTAAATAGTTTTAGCATTTGGAATTCACTCAAAACTCACCTAATGAATCCTCCCACTATATTATATTGTTGCCCAAGTTTTGGGCTGAATTAGATCTTGATTGAACCAAAAAATTGCACAATTGATGTTTGTATGAACTTCGTTTTGTAATTTGAATGGTTGGTATGTTGCATAGTTTTAATGATTGGATTTCAATCAAAATACGCCAGTTCACACCTCCCACCATATTATGATGTTGCCCATGTTTTTGGCTCAATCCGATATCAATTAGCCAAAGAAATTGGACAATTCAAGTTCGTATGAAGTTCGTTCCATAATAGCGACTGGATTCCACTCAAAACTCACCAAATAACTCCTCCCACTATATTATGACGTTGCCCAAGTTTTGGGCACAATCTGATATTGATAGGACAAAGAAATTGGACACTTCAAGTTTGTATGAAGTTTGTTCCGTCAATGGAGTGGTTGGTGTATTGCATAGTTTTAGCAATTGGATTTCACTTAAAACTCACTGAATGACTCCTACCACCATATTATAATGTTTCCCAAGTTTTGGGCTCAATTCGATATCGATTGAATCAAGAAATTGGACAATTCAAGTTCATATGAAGTTCTTTCCATAAATGGAGTGGTTGGTAAATTGCATAGTTTTAGTGTTTGGATTTCACTCAAAACTCACCAAATAACTCCTTTCACCATATTATGATCTTGACCAAGTTTTGGGCTCAATCCGGTATCGATTGGCCAATGAAATTAGACACTTTAAGTTCGTACGAATTTCATTATGTAAATGTTGTGGTTGGTGTACTGCATAGTTTTAGCAATTCAATTTCACTCAAAACTCACCAATTCATTGCTTCCACCATATTATGATGTTGGCCAAGTCTTGGGCTCGATCCGAAATAAATTGGTCAAAGAAATTGGTCACTTCAAGTTCGTACTAAGTTTGTTTTGTAAATGGAGTGGTTGTTTTATTGCATAGTTTTAGCGATTGGATTTCACTCAAAACTTACCAAATAACTCCTCCCACTATATTATGATGTTGACCAGGTTTTGGGCTCAATCCGATATCGATTGGCCAATTGTTCACCCGTTTTGTGATCACTCCTGTGGTGTGACCCCCATAAATCCCGGTAAATCTCGGCCACTGCCCTGATCGTGGGTTCTACCCCCTTGGTTGTGGGAGCGCATTTAATGCCCTGGTCTGGTGGTTGGTGATCTGACCTCAAGTTGTAAGAACACTTGTGAGAATTTTTGTGCCTAACCACTCTGATTTTTGCGCCTGGTCTGGTGGTTAGTGATCTGACTTCAGTCACTTCCCTTCTTCCCTCGTCCATTAAATGCTTCTTGCGACTAGTGGGTTTGCTGCGATAGTCAGAGGCATTACTTCATTAAATGGGGCATGGGACCCTAAGGCCACGTGGCGATTTAACCACAATATCTTCGGCCGTCTCTTTTACGGCCTTCGGCTTCGGCCTACAATACTGCGGTCGTGAGGCCAAGAGGATTCTGCCTTTGCAGCTTTTCTTTTGTTTTCAGGAAGGCGAAATGCCTAACCAAACGGTAGGTGCTAGGGCCGAGAGGAAGTCCCTTCAGTCAATTTATGATCGTGATTTATTAGGCACAAACACCACCTGTCTTGGTTTTTGCTAAACCAAATTTGTAATGAGAGAAATCTCTTTTTGAATGACTTATTTTCTAAGTCTGAGCCTTGAGAATTCTGATCTAAAGCTGGTTTTCACTTGGAATTCAAGTGAGCTTCTGGTCGATTTTGAGTTGTTTGTTTGATTGATGGATTGATTGTTCTTGAAATTGAGAGTCCTTTGCCCTGTTCACTCCTTCTTGTATTTATAAGAGATGTTACCTGGAGTAGGGCAATTCTTTTTAAATAATGGGCGGCAATTTAGAAAAATCTTTCATTTTTAATTGTAAAGAAAGGGGGTTTTGATCAATTTCTGGTAGATAAGCTCTCAATAGTCAGTTCTTAAGATCACTTCCCTGGTTTTCTTGAAAAAGAACCTAATCTCCTTTCCCAATTTTAACTGCCCCTTGTGAGATTTGAACCGTGATGGTTAGTTTGATTTCCCAGATGAACAACTCTCTGTCCTCCTGCTTATCTCTCTCTTTCTTTGAAAATATGGCCTCCGTATCTCTTGAAAGGATGGTGCCTTCTTGGAGTGGAATCAATATTTTTGAATATATAAGAAGGATTTTGATCTTCTGGTGGCAGAAATTCAGAGAAGTCCCTTTGCCACTGACCTGCTTTAATTAATTGTCAATCAACTCAGTCGAGTTTGTTGGCTTTTCCATTTTTGGTAGTCACGTGGGTTCTGAAAACAGGTTTCTTCCCTTTTTTCTTTTAATTATGCTGGGCCCATTCTGATTTGTCTGGAGCCTAAAGGTAATTGATTTTCTTTTGGGGGCCCAAGTTTTCTTGCCATATTTTGATGAGTATGGGGCTGGCCTATCTGGATTTTGGGCTTTGCCTTCCGTTCTGAAAAAAAACCAAACTGCTTGAGTCCTGTAGCTCTTATTCTAAGCTTTCTCTGTGTTAGGCTGGGTGCGTTTAATTTAGGCCCAAACAATGCCCCCTAAGTCTGAATTGTTTTTGGAACGGTTTCAGACTTAAATGATTTGGCCATTAAATTGGCGCGTGCCAGTTTCTTCTGCTATCCCACGTCTGCCATGTCTTCCCACTAAGCTAGAGTTCGTGGAAACTGTTCAGTTACTAGCTCTTTATTAGCTAGTCATTTATCAGATGATGCCTTGTCTTTTCCACGTCCCTGTCTTCTCTTTCCCACGTTTTCGAGCTTCTTTAAAAGAAATTCAAAACCCACTGTTCCTGTTCATCCGAAAACCTAGTACTCCAGACTTCACTCTTTTGAGCTCCTCTTTAACAACTCTCTCTTTTCTAGAACCTGCCTTGCCTTTCCTATCAACTTTCCCTTTTCAAAAACAAGAACAATCCTGAGAAATGTCTTCCCCAAAATCCCGTGCCCAGTCTTCCTCTGTTTCAGTTCCTCCTGATTACATTACTGGGACTGGGATTGACAGACATGCAATAAAGGTTAGGAGCAAGCTTCATCCTTTTGCCCAGAAGAACCTAGATGAAAATGTCCTTCAACTGTTCGAGAATACCTTGGTGCTGGGGCCTCACTGGTTTGGTCATGTTCCTCCCGAGATGGCATAACTGATGAAGAAGGATGCTGAGGCTCCTTTATGTTTTGAGAGCACTTCTGCTTTGGCTTCTCATTCCTGGGTTAGCAAGAATCTAAGCCAGTCCTTCCCGTCCAGTGAAGTGAGAAACAATTCAGTGAAATGGGTAGACTGGATTGACAGGCTTCTTCCAAGATATGGACCTCACTGGAAGCAGGCTGGTATTTATGACGCCATACTTCTGTCCAAGCAATCTGTCAACAGAGATGAGAACCTGCTTGCTGCAGCTCTGTGTTTCTGGAATTCTGCCAGTAACACTTTCGACTTTCACATATGCCCCATGGCTCCAACTTTGCTGGACATGGCTCAGATATTCGGGTTTAGGCCCCATGGGAGACCTGTTGATGCTTTTGGTGATTATCACAGGAAGAAAAATCAGCAGAAGCTAGCCAAGCCATTCACCATCTCTCTAGCCCTCATCAACCAGAACTGCTTTTTCTCCAATTACCTGAGGAAATTCAGTGCTGAGAAGGACAAGGACCAGCAGCATATGCTGTTCCTTCTGTATTGGTTGAACAGGTTCATTCTGCCCAACCGCGTTTCTACAGTTCTGCTAGAGTACAGACACTTGGCAGAAGCTTTGCACAACCACACTGATGTCAGACTCGGGCCTTCAGTTCTGGCTCATTTATTCAAGAACTTGCATACTGCTACCTTGGAGAATCCGCTGAATCTGCCTGCTCCCGGTGCCTTTTGGATGATCCAGATCTGGTTGCAGGTCTATTTTCCTAAATTGAGGTTCCCATACATAGTTCTGCCTGAGGATCAGGTTCTGGCTCAACCATTGATGTCGGCAGAAGTGCCCAAGCGTTCTATTGAAGAGATTAGCAGCTTAGTGGCAAGTGGTGATCAGGAGAACCTATCCTTAGTTCCAGCGTCGGTACCGTTTGTTTGAGAAAGAGCCGGAAGAAGAAGCAGCCAGAATTGATTTCAGGAAGAAGTTCCTGAGTGTGACCCTCCCAAGAGACCTGCCCCATGGAGGTGGGAAGCCTCCCAATTATCATCTGGGGGTAGAAGTGTATCACCCCAACTTTTGTGCAAGGCAGCTTGGCTGCCCATAGCTTATTCCACTCAAATCCTGTAGGAGCTGTAATCGGGCTTCTTCTTGGAGGGACCTGGATGACCTGGAGGTGCATAAGGATGCCAGGTGTGTAGTGAACAAGATAAACAACAGTGCAGACGCCTTATATCCGTCCTGGGAACCCAATTTGAGGATCTAGAAGTGGCCCTATTTGAGGATTCAGAGGCAGAACACTCTACTGCTGTTCCAGCGGCTGAGGAACAGGCAGGACAATCTGTATCAGAACCTGTGGACCAGGCTGTGGTGGTTCCAGAAGCTAGAGCAGAAGTGGATGCCCCTGCTCCTGAAGTTATCGTAATTTTTCTTCCAATTCTGCTCACATTTTCTGCAATTCTATTATGTTTTCTGCTTCTTTAATCGTTATAGTCTTTCCAGGTAGAAGTGCCCAAATCTGTTGGTGCCCTGTCAGTGGTCACTAGCCCCTTGAAGCCCCCAATTGTTGTTGTAAGAGTTCATTATATTTCTGGGTTTTTCTTTTCTGTTTCTACCTGGTTTTGACTTATGCTTCCTTTTGCAGATGCCTATTCATTCCCTTCCAGGTTCATCCGCCACGGCTTCCTTTGCTGACCCAGAACTGGTAGAGTTTGAAGCCCTGGACTTAGATGCCCAACTAGACAGATTGGAGATGCTTAGCTCTCCTGTAGGTAAGGCAAAATCCAAGGCAGTGAAGGAGGCTATGGAGAGGCTGAGGATAGGGAAGCCATTGATCAACTGATGAAGGATCTGGACCCGCTGCACAGACAGAATGTGGCCCCCAAACCCATACTTGAGATGAGTCTTGGCCTGGCAAGAGATGTGCTCAACCTCCATGATCGTTATGAGGATCTCAAGCCCTCCTTCAAGACTTCTGAATTCTGCAAGGCCACAAATGAAGCCAACTTGGCTGATTTTGCAAAGCAGAAGGCAGAACTGGATCAGATGGTGGCGGGCTATAAGGAAGCAAAAGCTACTGCAAACAAATTGGAGAAGCAGATTGCAGAGCTTCAAAAGCAGCTGGCAAAGTGCAGGGAAGTGCATAACAGGCTCGGGGCTGGACTGAGCTCCAAGACCAAGGCTACTTTCATTGTGTAGAGCATGGTTGCAGCTTCCAGGCCAACCCTGGAGATTGCAGAGGCTTCAATTCATCAGGGGGTGCTACTTCAAAAAGAACTCTCCATTAAGAAGACCAACTTGCAAGAAACCCTTAAGAAATTAGGGTTCTGATTCTGTTATTTATTTACCCTTTTAGTTTTTTCTTCATGATGAACAATTTGCCATGGGGAAGGCCTCATGGCTATTTATTTTAAATAAAGTTTATTTTCCTTGTTGCAATTTTCGGGTGTTTAATTTCTTTTGATGAAATAAACAGAAGTACAAAAGGAACAAACTTTAATCAACTTAGAACAAATATGACTCTAAATAGAAATAAAAGCTTTTTAGTGTTGCCCCTTCTCTATCCCAGGATCTGTTTATACAGCCCGTGAATCCCACATGGTTGGATAAAACTTCTTTAACTATTTGCCATTGATTGGGGCAGCATGAATTTCTCCATCTCTATCCTGCAACCTATATGCCCCCATTCCAAGGATTTGGTTGATTATGAAAGGGCCCTCCCATGTAGGTGACCACTTTCCATAACCAATCACATGTGTTCCAAGGGGCAGAACTGCTTTCCAGACTATCTCTCCCTCTTCAAAACTCTTGTTCTTGACTCTTTTGTTATAGGCCCTTGACACAGCTTGCTTTCCTATGGGTGTCAACTCTGCTTGCATCCAATTGTTCTAGTTCTAGCAAGATGGCTTAAGAGTAGTTTTCTCCTACCAGATTATGTTGGTGAGCAATTCTGAGGGACTGAACAGCTATCTCCATAGGCAGAATTGCATCATGGCCATATGTCAAAGCGTAAGGGGTCATGCCAGTTGCTTCTCTCTTTGAAGTTCTATATGCCTACAGAGTTTCTGACAACTTCTCATGCCATTGCTTTGGATTCTTCTCAAGCATTTTATAGATAATGTTGATGATTACCTTGTTGCTTGATTCTGCCTGCCCGTTAGCTTGAGCATAATGAGTGGATTGAAGCAGCCTGAATTTGAATGCCTCTGTCATATCTAGCATTTCTCCAGATATGAAAGAAGATCCTCTGTCAGTTGTGATTGATTCTGGGATGCCAAATCTCTGTATAATCTGTTCGTCTATGAAAGTGATGATTTCTCGAGATGTAGTGGATTTAACAGGCTTGGCTTATACCCACTTAGTGAAATAGTTTGTGGCAACAATGATAAAACAGTGTTGCTGGCTGCTGGCTGGATAGATCTTGCCAATGAGGTTCGTTGCCCATCCTCTAAAGGACCATGGCTTTACCACTGGATTCATGGGAACTGAAGAAGCCTGCTGGATTGGGCCGTGTCTTTGACAAGACTCACACCCCTTGGAATAGTCAATGCAATCTTTCATCATGGTTGGCCAGAAGCAGCCATACCTTCTAATTAACCAGCACATTTTCCTCCCACCTTGATGGGCTCCACAGATTCCTTCATGAGTTTCCCCATGACTTTCATGTATTCTTTCTTTCCGAGGCACCTTAAAAGTTTGGATACTGCAAATAGGTTATGATAGGCTTTCTCCAATCATCTTCAATGATTATGGCAGAATTGACATCTATCTCCATCCCCCTGGTCAGAACTGTTGGCAGGCTTTTCTTTCCCACCTTGATGATCCTCTGTACACAGTCTTCAGGTATTTGTATACCTGTTGCTACTTGGGCCAGTTCATTGGTTGCACAGTTTTCCTCCCTTGGGATGTGTTCCCAAGTAGCTTCTCTAAATTCTGTCAGAAGATTCCTAGCTGCCACTAGATATACAGCTAGAGAAGGACTAAGACACTTGTATTCCCCAGCAATCTGTTTTAATACAAGCATTGAATCTCCCAGGATTTCTACAGATTGGATTCCTAGTTCCACCAGCATTTCTAATCCTATGATTAGAGCTTCATATTCTACCTTGTTGTTGGTGCATTGGAAATCTAACTGGAAAGAATAACAGTGTCTGATTCCAAGTGGTTCTTCCAAAACAATCCCTGCCCCAGAAGCTATATCAGTTTTTGATCCATCAAAATACAGCTTCCAAGGTGTGAGATGAACTAAATAGATAGGATTGTTAAAGCAAGTGTGAGCTCTAGGTAACAGATCTGCATTTGCTATGTCCAAAGAGTCCATGTTCTCAATCTCTTCTCTAGGATGATCTGCTAGGAAGTCTGCCACAACTTGTCCCTTGACAGCTTTCTGAGGAACATACCTGAAGGCAAATTCTGTCAAGGCCAAGGTCCATTTCCCAATTCTGCCTCTCAACATTGGCCTGGTTAGCATGTATTTGATTAGATCTGTCTTGGCAATGATGTAGATGGTGTATGGCAACATGTAGTGTCTGAGTTTCACAGCAGTGAAGTACAAGGCTAGGCAAAGTCTTTCAATTGCAGAATATTTTCTTTCCACCTCTGTCAGAGTTCTGCTCAGGTAGTAGACTGCCTATTCCTTCCCTTCCTTGTTATCTTGAACCAACAGACTCCCAATGAATACTTCTGATGCAGATACATAGAGCTTGAGTGGTCTGCCTCTCTTTGGTGGGGACAGAACTGGTGGATTTGAGAGGTAATGCTTGATTTCCTCAAAAGCTTGTTGGTGCTGTTCTTCCCACTTGAAGGTCTGTTCCTGTTTCAATCTTAACAAAGAGGAGAAAGGCTGGATCTTTCCTGCAGAATTGGATATGAATCTCCTTAAAAAATTAATTTTTCCTAAGAGACTCTGCAATTCTTTCTTGTTTCTAGGCGGCAGAGCTTCTATGATGGATTTTGCTTTGTTTTTGTTGATTTCTATGCCTCTCTGGTGGACCAAGAATCCTAGGAAATTTCCTGCTTGAACTCCAAAAACACATTTCTTTGGGTTCATCTTTAGTTTGTGCTGCCTCATTCTTAGGAATGCCCTTCTTAGATTTGGTATGTGGTTTCCCTCTTCTGGGGATTTAATCACTACATCATCGATATACACTTCCAAAGAATGTCCTATCATATCATGGAAGACAGAATTCATTGCCCTTTGATAAGTAGCCCCTGTATTTCTTAAGCCAAAAGGCATTACAGTGTACTCAAAAGCGCCTATATGTCCTGGACACATGAAGGCTGTTTTGTGGATGTCTCCTTCCGCCACCATGATCTGATTGTAACCTGCATTGCCATCCATAAAAGATAGCATCTGGTTGTGAGCAGCTCCATCTACTAGCATGTCTGCCATTGGCATAGGGTACTCATCCTTGGGAGAAGCTTCATTTAGATTTCTGTAATCCACAAATTCTGACTACCCCAATTTTTCTTTTCAGAACTGGTACAATATTAGCTAGCCAATCAGCATAGATGGCTGGTCTGATGAATCCTGCTTTGAGCAACCTTTCTATTTCTTCTTTGACCTTCAGTTCTGTGTCCATGGACATTCTTCTTCTGGCCTGTTTGACTGGAAGGTATCCCTCTTTGATTGGCAGCTTGTGCTCCACTAATTCCCTGTCTAGACCTGACATTTCATGATAATGCTAAGCAAAACAATCTCTGAACTCCTGCAACAGTGCAATGAGCTCACTCTTGAGCGGTTCTTTCAATAGTGCGCTAATAAAAGTAGGTCTTGGATCCTCTTCTGTCCCTAAGTTTATTTCCTGTAAAGGATCTTCTACTTCTGGCAGAGAATCATCCAGTCCTACTGGCGCAAAATTCCACCTATAACTCTTCTTCCTCCTGGTCTTTCGTGCTCTCATGAGTGAATTCTGCCATATTGATGGCTGGGTCCTGCATGAAGAGCTTTCTTTCCTCCCAATATATCAACAATCTTTTTGTAATGGATTAGATTGTTACAGCTCGATCCTTTTCTTGTTGATAGGAACTAAACATCAAAATTCTGGAGGTTTAGAACAAAAGGTCTATTCCAGTCTTCTAAGGAACTAGCTAGGCCATCTTCAATGAGCCTCTGGGCCGTGACACCATGGGGACGACCGTTCTGGTTGACTCCAAGGAAAGTGAAAGGACCAAGGTCATCATGATAATACCTTGCCTCAAAACACATGACAGAAGGCAGAAATGGCCGTGGATCAGCCTCTACTATCTCCATGTAACCTTTTTCATTCCACAGAGCTAATTGCTGGTGAAGAATGGAGGGAACACACAGACTTTGGTGAATCCAGTCCTTGCCAAGTAGTGCATTATAGGTGGTGGAAGTGGTATCTACCACAAAGAATGCAATGTTCAGCTTTTTGCTTCCAACTATGACATCCACATCTACGATCCTATGAGTTTTAGTGATGCCCCCTGCAAAGTTGGTGACGGTTAAGCGTGTTGGGATCAAGTCTTTCTCTATTCTGCCCATTTTGCTCAGCATTCTGTGAGGCAGAAGATTGATGGCTGCACCTCCATCTACCATGATTTTGGGAATAGGAACACCCCCAAAGTTTGCTGTTATAAACAAGGGTCTGAGGTGGTTTGCCATCTCTTTGGTTGGTTTGGAGAAGCAAAGCTGGTCAGCAGCCAGCTTGTTGTCAGTTCCTTCCATCCTGGGATTGCCTGCTTGTTGTTCTGGCATCTCTTCTGCCTCTGCCAACCTGCATTCGAAACTTTCCTGGGAGAAAACATCTCCCTCCAGAGTGCTTTCTTGTCCTTCTGCAGCTCTAAACTTTTCTGGCAGAATGAACACCATGTTGATGCCCAAATCACCCTGCAACAGGTTTTCCAATTCTGCACCAAAAGCTTCGGTTTCTGCATCTAATTCCCCATCATATTCCATGTGTTCCTCCTCGAATCCTTCTGTCTAGTCTTCCTGTTCTCCTGTTTCAAGGAGTGCATTCTGGTCATCTGCAGATAGCTCATAATCTAGCTGCTCCTCTTCATTTCCCTCAGTCCAGTCTTCTGGCCCTTCTATTGGAATAGGTTTAGATTGTCCTTGTATCTGTAAAGGTTTAAATTGATTGTCTGAGGATGAAGCAAGATGGATAGAAGGCTTGACTGGAGATCCAGCTTTCAACATTTTCTGTGGCTGGATTACTTGCTCTGCCTGGGAAAGTATTTCTGGATCTTTCCCTTTTCTGCCGGAAGTGGTCTCCGGAGGTGGCTCTTGAGGAACATGCAGTATTGCCTTTGAACCCTCCTCTTCTGGGTTCTGGTTAATTCCATAGTTGGTCTGCCGCTTTTCCCGACAGCATACCACCTTCCTTCTATGATAGCAGCCAGAGGTTTGTCATTCCCGGGCATCTTGATTGACATTTCCTTCTTGGGCTGCTCTGTCATCCTCCTGCTATGCTGGGCTGGTCTGGGATACTCCTTCCGCCTGGCTCTATCTTGGGATGAGGTTCCAATCCTGTCAAAAACACTCGGAATGGGCTGACTCTGCCTGTCCAGGACCACTTCTAGCTCAGCTTCACATCTGCACTTGCTGCAGAGCACTACTCCAGCTGAGATAGTTGCTTTTGGCCTTTCAATAGTTTCCCTTGAAACCATTCTGCCTCTGCTGGAACTGGCTTCTGTTGTTGGCCTGCTTCTCTTCTATTCTGGCCAATTTAAGTTGACCATGTTGACTTGTGGTTGGGGAAAAGGATTTGTTGTGACTGAAGGAGATTTCTCCGCCAGTTTCAACCTTCCTGCTGTTATTCCTTCCTGTATAATATCTCTGAAAACTACACAACTATTGTTAGAATGGTTCTAAGAGTTGTGCCACCTGCAATACTGCTTGCCCTTGAGCTCTTCTGGCTTGGGTATCCTGTGAGGTGTCTCTATTGCCTTTTGCAACAACATTTCATCAAATAAAGCATCCACCGTGGTTAGATGAAAGGAATAAACCTTGTTCTGTGTTGGTTTGCTTGGAACAAACCCTCATGTGAAAGGTGGTGGCTTCTGATCCTTTGGTGGCTTAGTAAGGGCCTTGCAGCTAATGGGATGTTTCAACTTTGCCATTTCTGCTGCTGCAACTTCTCCCTCCTCTGAGCATTCTGCTTCCCCTTCTGATTCTACCTGAACCAGATGTATTGAAGAGGAAGGTGACTTGTAATACGTGCCTTTGGATGAGTTCTTCTTTTGCTGTTCTTCCCTAAGCAGTTCCTCATACTTGGATGCTTTATCTGCTAGTTCTGCCAGGTCTCCAAACAGCATCCCATCAAAATTTTTTCTTAGGGATTCGACACTTCATTTTGAGCTTCATGAACCTGGTTGTGAAGTCTTGAGCAGGTTCATCTTCAGTCTGTTTGAGGGCAGCAAGGTCACTGATTGTGACTTCTGGCTGAATCCTGTAATAATAGTCGTGGAAAACACTTTCCATCTGCTCCCAGGTTTGAACAGAATTAGCTGGCAGGTTGGTGTACCAAGTAAAAGCTTGTCCAGAGAGAGAATTCCCGAAAAGCCTCAACTTCAAAAGAGGATTGTTCTCTATGGCTATGCACTGGACATAGAACCTGCCTATATGCTCAACTGATGAAGCATGGGGATCCTCTCCGTTGAATAAGGTCAAGTTTGGCACCTTAAAATCCGGGGATAGAGATATTTGATCGATATAAGCCGGATATGGCTTCCTATAGGTCGACCTTTCTCCTCTTCTGGCTTCAGGCTCCATCATCTCTCTGATCATCCATTGTAATGCCCCTACGTCATTCAGAGCATTGACAGGGTGGTGATTTCGCCCTTGTTCTGGCTGGGCGTGATCAATCCTGGGCTCCGCTCTGTATGGCATGGGCAGAACTTCCTCCCTATGTTCTTCCTGTTCTTCCAAATCTGGATTGTTCCTCCAGTTTGCCCCCAGCCTGTTCCTGTCATTGTTGGCGAAAAGGTTATTACCCCTTCCTCCTCTTCTGCCTCTTGCAGGTGGAGGGAATGGATTGGGATCCATCCTTCTGGGTCTATAAGGCAACACTGCTGGTGGCTCAGGCAGAAGTGCCAAAGGTTGATCCTGTGGAATAGGGTGAGGTTTTGGCTGGTTCTGTTGCATCTGAACTGGTGTAAGGCCTTCTGGCCGAGCTGGTGCCTCACGTTCTTGGACAGGAAGGGCTCCTCCCCTTTGTCTAGTCTAAATTTCCCCATGTTCTGGCATCCTAGTTATCTGTGCAATAAGAGGATTCTCCTGACATGGCCATGCCAATCCTGGTGGGGGACCATAGGGAAGGTCTAGCTGCTGGACTACAGCATCCGAATTTGGAATTTTGGCTATGGCAGCCTCACGGTCCTTCCTGAACTGCCTGTTGACCTGCCATTGCATCATGGCTGTCATATTATTGAGAGTGTCCTGGCTCCTTTGCGTTGTGACTTCTTGTCGCAACATAGATTCCTGAATCAGGTTCATCCTTCTGGAGCTAGTCCTGGACCTTCTACTCCCTGTGCTGCCGTGTGCTGAGTGCCTGGCATCACTTTACTCTGACTCGAGTCCTTCCCTGAGAGCCACCTGGTTTATCTCCATGGCGTGGTGTGGGTTCTGGTTAGAGCTTCCAATATTCATAAACTTCAGAGGAATTCTGTGAGAACATGTATACTGAGAAGTCCCACTGAGCTTGCCAAATTGTTCACCCGTTTTAAGATCACTCCTGTGGTGGAAGGGCAAAGTTCCCCACTGCCTTGTGAACCATTGGCTGGTCAGCAAGTCAGCTTTCTTTGGTGTATGAGCCTGCCACTGCTAGCAATGAAGATTCTAGCATACTTATTCTAGAATAGATAACTTGCGCCCCAAGTTACTGATTTCCATAAACAAGCGATTGTGAATTTGGGTTAGGAATATCTCCCAAGTAAGTTCTTTTCTTGCCTCAGACTGGTGAGGACTTTAACAATTTATCTCAGTATAAAGAGGTTGTTATGGCCGGAATGGTTGATGGAATTTAAGCTGTCTTAGGCAGAACTGCCTTTTACAAAACTATAAACATAAATATCCAAGCTAGAAAGAAGAAAGGACAGTTGGAACTCCATTTCTGCCTGGATAGAAGGTTATGATCCGAGCTAGTCTGGAAATATCTGGGCTGGACTGGACTGTTAACAACTTCTGCTGCTAAGCTTGTGATGTAGATTGATACCAAAGGTTAATTTTGGCAGAGTTTTAATACACTTCAAGCTTTGGTGAGGCTTCTGAGTGGGCAGAACTGTGGCTGCTTTAGTCTATAAGGGCAGAAGTGGCTGTTTTCGAGGACTTCAGTGGGCTAGAGACTGCACTGTAAAATTTGTTGAGGTTTTCATGTTTGGGAAAAGCTCAAGCTCCACCTGTCATGGTTTTTGCTAAACCAAATTTGTAACGAGAGAAATCTCGTTTTGAATGACTTATTTTCTAACTTTAAGCCTTGGGAATTCTGATCTAAAGCTAGTTTTCACTTGGAATTCAAGTGAGCTTCTGGTTGATTTTGAGTTGTTTGTTTGATTGATGACTTGAATGTTGGATTGATTGTTCTTGAAATTGAGAGTCCTTTGCCCTGTTCACTCATTCTTGTATTTATAAGAGATGTTATCTGGAGTAGGGCAATTCTTTTTAAATAATGGGCGGCAATTTAGAAAAATCTTTCATTTTTAATTGTAAAGAAAGGGGGTTTTGATCAATTTCTGGTAGATAAGCTCTCAATAGTCAGTTCTTAAGATCACTTCCCTGTTTTTCTTGAAAAAGAACCTAATCTCCTTTCCCAATTTTAACTGTCCCTTGTGAGATTTCAACCGTGATGGTTAGTTTGATTTCCCAGATGAACAACTCTCTGTCCTCCTGCTTATCTCTCTCTTTCTTTGAAAATATGGCATGCGTATCTCTTGAAAGGATGGTGCCTTCTTGGAGTGGAATCAATATTTTGAATATATAAGAAGGATTTTGATCTTCTGGTGGCAGAAATTCAGAGAAGTCCCTTTGCCATTGACCTACTTTAATTAATTCTCAATCAACTCAGTTGAGTTTGTTGACTTTTCCATTTTTGGTAGTCACGTGGGTTCTGAAAACAGGACTCTTCCCTTTTTTCTTTTAATTATGTTGGGCCCATTCTGATTTGTCTGGAGCCTAAAGGTAATTGCTTTTCTTTTGGGGGCCCAAGTTTTCTTGCCATATTTTGATGAGTCTGGGGCTGGCCTATCTGGATTTTGGGCTTTGCCTTCTGTTTTGAAAAAAAACCAAACTGCTTGAGTCCTGTAGCTCTTATTCTGGGCTTTCTCTGTGTTAGGCTAGGTGAGTTTAATTTAGGCCCAAACACCAATGAAATTGACACTTCAAGTTCGTACGAAGTTCATTCCTTAAATAGAGTGGTTGTTGTATTGCATAGTATTAGTGATTGGACTTCGTTGAAAACATCCCAATTCACTTGTCCCACTATATTACGAAGTTGCCTATGTTTTGGGCTCAATCCGATATCGATTGGCCAAAGAAATTGGACACTTCAAGTTCGTACGAAGTTTGTTCCGTAAATGGAGTGGTTGGTGTATTGTATAGTTTTAGAGATTGGATTTCAAAACAACACACCAAATGAATCCTCCCACCACATTATGATGTTGACCAAATTTTGGGCTCAATCTGATCTCGATTGAACCAAGAAATTGGACAAGTCAATTTCGTTCATAGTTCGTTCCGTAAATGGAGTGGTTGGTGTATTGCATAGTTTTAATGATTGGATTTCTGACAGGACCTGACCCAAATTCCACTTTGGAATCCAAGCAGAACCCTGTGGGTGTCTGAGCCAAGCTTCCTGCTCTAGGTTCAAGACATTGATTAGAGCTACTTTTGTTCTTGGACCTACCCTGAAAAATGGCCGGAAGTGGCAGGAATTTCAACCCAAAATCTGGCCAAACTTTGAGTTATAAATTGAACCACCTAGGCTACAAATTGATCAAATCCTACCCAACCATCAGCCAGAGCAAGAAAAGTAGGCTACAAACCGAATGATTTTTTGTTAGATTCTTGAATTTTACGATGACAGGGCTGGAGGTTGGCGGCGGAGGAAGGTCGGGATGGGAAGCTGGGGTGGTGGCGGTTCATTCGAGCCTAGGCCCGTGGCCGGTGGCAGCTCGTGGCTATGCTGGTGGCTTGGGGAAGACATGACTGGAGGAAGAAAAACCAGGGAGGGGCTAGTTCGCTGGGAGAGAGAGAGCTTAAAATCTGGTTTTTGCAAATTTACAATTTTGCCCCTAGGAGTATTTCGATCGTAACTTCCTCGTTATAACTTCGATTCAAGCCCACCACATGTCTACGGACTCATTCGGACGTGCTCCACGCAACGATACATTTGAAATTTGCAAATTCCTTCCTGGTCAAAAAGTCAACTTTTAAACCTATTAAAATATTCTAGGGGAAAAATAGTATTTTACATGAATAAATTAATAACTAAAATTGACTTAGGATCGGGTTGTTACAATTTCACTCAAGACAAACCAATTCACTCCTCCCACCATATTATGACGTTGCCCGATTTTGGGCTCAATCCGATATCGATTAGCCGAAGAAATTGGACAATTGAAGTTTGTACGAAATTCGTTCCGTAAATGGAGTGGATGGTGTATTGCATAGTTTTAGCGATTGGATTTCACTCAAAGCTCGCAAAACGACTCCTCTCACCATATTACGATGTTGACCAAGTTTTGGCCTCAATCCGATATTGATTGGCCAATGAAATGGGACACTTCAAGTTCGTATGAAGTTCGTTTCGTAAGTGGAGTGGTTGGTGTATTGTATAGTTTTAGAGATTGGATTTCACTCAAAACGCACCAAATGATCCTCCCACCATATTATGATGTTGACAAAGTTTTGGGCTCAATCCGATATCGATTGAATGAAGAAATTGGACAATTCAAGTCCATACGAAGTTTGTTCTGTAAATGGTGTGGTTGGTGTATTGTATAGTTTTAGCGATTGGATTTCTCTCATAACTCATCGAAGGACTCTTCCCACCATATTATAAACTTATCCCAGTTTTGGGCCCAATCCGATCTCGATTGAACAAAGAAAGTGGACAATTCAAGTTCGTTCGAAGTTAGTTCTGTAAATGGAGTGGTTGGTGTATTGCGTAGTTTTAGAAATTGGATTTCACTCATAACACACCAATTCACTCCTCCTACCATGTTACGACGTTGCACTTGTTTTGGGCTTAATCCGATATCGATGGGCCAAAGAAATTAAACAATTCAAGTTCGTACAAAGTTCGTTCTGTAAATGGAGAGGTTGTCGTATTAAATATTTTTAGCGATTGGATTTCACTCAAAAAGCACCGAATGACTCCTCCCACCATATTATGATGTTGCCCAAGTTTTGGGCACAATCCAATATCGATTGAACCAAGAAATTGGACAATTCAAGTTCGTACAAAGTTCGTTACTAAGTGGAGTGTTGGTGTATTGCATAGTTTTAGAGATTGGATTTCACTCAAAACTCACCAAATGAATCCTCCAACCATAATATGTTGTTCCCCAAGTTTTGGGCCCAATATGATATCAATTGAAGAATTCAAGTTCGTACGCAATTTGTTCTGAAATGGTGTGGTTGGTGTATTGCATAGTTTTTCCATTGGATTTCACTCAAAACCACCAAATGACCCCTCCCACCATATTATTGTTCCCCAAGTTTTGGGCTCAATCCGATATCGATTGGTCTAAGAAATCGGACTAATTGAAGTTTGTTTGAAGTTCGTTCCGTAAATGGAGTGGTTTGTGTATTGCATAGTTTTAGCCATTGTATTTCACTCAAAACACACCAATTGACTCCTCCCACCATATTATGGTGTTCCCAAGTTTTGGGCTCAATCCGATATCGATTGGTCCAAGAAATCGGACTATTCAAGTTCGTAGGAAGTTCGTTCTGAAATGGAGTGGTTGGTGTATTGCATAGTTTTAGCCATTGGATTTCACTCAAAACCAACCAAATGACTCCTCCCACCATATTATGTTGTTGCCCAGGTTTTGGGCTCAATCCTATTTGATTGGCTAATGAAATCGGACAATTCAAGTTCGTACGAAGTTCGTTTGAAATGAGAGGTTGGTGTACTAAATAGTTTTAGCCATTGGATTTCACTCAAAACACACCAATTCATCCCTCCCACCATATTATGAGGTTACTCAAGTTTGGCTCAATCCGATATCGATTGGCCAAAGAAATTGAACAATTCAAGTTCGTTTCGTAAATGACGTGGGTTGGTGTATTGCATAGTTTTAGCGATTGGATTTCACGCGAAACTAACCAAATAACTCCTCCCACCATATTACGATGTTACCCCAAGTTTGGCTCAATCCGATATCGATTGGCCAAAGAAATTGAACAATTCAAGTTCGTACGAAGTTCGTTCCGTAAATGGAGTGGGGTGGTGTATTGCATAGTTTTAGCGATTGGATTTCACTCAAAACTCCCCAAATGACTCCTCCCACCAAATTACGATGTAACTCAAGTTTCAGGCTCAATCCGATATCTATTGGCCAAAGAAATTGAACAATTCAAGTTCATATGAAGTTCGTTCCATAAATGGAAAGGTTGGTGTATTAAATAGTTTCAGTGATTGGATTTCACTCAAAACTCAACGGAGGACTCCTCCCACCATATTATTATGTTACCCAAGTTTTGGGTTCAATCCAATCTCGATTGACAAGAAATTGAACAATTCAAGTTTGTACGAAGTTCGTTCCTTAAATGGAGTGGTTGGTGCATTGCATAGTTTGAGCAATTGGATTTCTCCCAAAACTCAATGAAGGACTCCTCCCACCAAATTATAATGTTACCCAAGTTTTGGGCTCAATCTTATCTCTATTGAACCAAGAAATTGGACAGTTCAAGTTCGTACAAAGTTCGATCCGTAAATGGAGTGGTTGGTGCATTGCATAGTTTTAGTAATTGGATTTCACTCCAGACTCCCCAAATAACTCCTCCCACCATATTATGACGATGCCCAAGTTTTGGGTTCTATCCGATATCGATTGAACTAAGAAATTGGACAATTCAAGTTCGTACCGTAAATGGAGTGGTTAGTGTATTGCATAGTTTTGGCAATTGGATTTTACTCCAAACTCACCCAATGACTCCTCCCCCATATTATGTTCCCCAAGTTTTGGGCTCAGTTCTATCTCCATTGAACCAAGAAATTGGACAATTCAAGTTCGTACGAAGTTCGTTTCCTAAATGGAGTGGTTGGTGTATTGCATAGTTTTAGCCACTTGGATTTCACTCAAAACCACCAAATGACTCCTCCCACCAAATTGTTGTTCCAAGTTTTGGACTCAATCCGATCTTGATTGGTCCAAGAAATTGGACAATTCAGGTTTGTTCGAAGTTCGTTCTAAATGGAGTGGTTGGTGTATTGCATTGATTTAGCCATTGATTTCACTCAAAACACACCAATTCACTCCTCCCCCCATATTATGTTGTTCCAACATTTTGGGCTCAATCCGATTTCGATTGGTCCAAAGAAATTGACAATTCAGTTTGTACGAAGTTCGTTCTAAATGGAGTGGTTGGTGTGTGTGCATAGTTTTAGCCATTGGATTTCACTCAAAACCCCCAAATGACTCCCTCCCCACCATATTATGTTGTTCCCCAAGTTTTGGGACTCAATCCGATATCGATTGGTCCAAAGAAATCGGACTATTCAGTTTCGTATGAAGTTCGTTCTAAATGGAGTGGTTGGTGTATTGCATAGTTTTAGCCATTGGATTTCACCAACCAAATCACTCCTCCCACCATATTATGTTGTTGCCCAAGTTTGGGCTCAATCCGATATCGATTGGCCATGAAATTAGACAATTCAGGTTCGTACGAAGTTCGTTCCAGAAATGGAGTGGTTGGTGTATTGCATAGTTTTAGCCATTGGATTTCACTCAAAACCAACCAAATGACTCCTTCCACCATATTATGTTGTTGCCCAGGTTTTGGACTCAATCCGATATCGATTGGTCCATGAAATTGGACAATTCAGGTTCGTACGAAGTTCGTTCTAAATGGAGTGGTTGGTGTATTGCATAGTTTTAGCCATTGGATTTCACTCAAACACACCAATTCACCCTTCCACCATATTATGATTTACCCCATGTTTTGGACTCAATCCGATATCGATTGGCCAAGAAATTGACAATTCAAGTTCGTACGAAGTTCGTTCCGTAAATGGAGTGGTTGGTGTATTGCATAGTTTTAGCAATTGGATTTCACTCAAAACTCACCAAATGACTCCTCCCACCATATTATGATGTTCCCCAAGTTTTGGCTCAATCCCGATATCGATTGGTCCAAGAAATTGGACAATTCAAGTTCGTACGAAGTTCGTTCGTAAATGGAGTGGTTGGTGTATTGCATAGTTTTAGCGTTGGATTTCACTCAAAACACACCAAATGACTCCTCCCACCAAATTATGTGTTCCCCAAGTTTTGACTCAATCCGATATCGATTGTCCATGAAATTGGACAATTCAGTTTCGTACAAAGTTCGTTCTGAAATGGGTTGGTGTATTGCATAGTTTTAGCCATTGGATTTCACTCAAAACAACCAATTGACTCCTCCCACCATATTATGATGTTCCCCAAGTTTTGGACTCAATCCGATATCGATTGGTCCAAGAAATCGGACTATTCAGGTTCGTACAAAGTTCGTTCTAAATGGAGTGTTGGTGTATTGCATAGTTTTAGCCATTGGATTTCACTCAAAACCCCAAATGACTCCTCCCACCATATTATGTTGCCCCAAGTTTTGGGACTCAATCCGATATCGATTGGTCCAAGAAATCGGACTATTCAGGTTCGTAGAAGTTCGTTCTGAAATGGAGTGGTTGGTGTATTGCATAGTTTTAGCCATTGGATTTCACTCAAAACACACCAAATGACTCCTCCCACCAAATTATGTTGTTCCCCAAGTTTTGGACTCAATCCGATATCGATTGGTCCAAGAAATTGGACAATTCAGGTTCGTACAAGTTCGTTCTGAAATGGAGTGGTGGTGTATTGCATAGTTTTAGCCATTGGATTTCACTCAAAACCAACCAAATGACTCCTCCCACCATATTATGTTGTTGCCCAAGTTTTGGGACTCAATCCGATATCGATTGGTCCAAGAAATTGGACTATTCAGGTTCGTAC